ACATAATAAACTAAAACAGAATCTTTAATACTTTCCATGTTAGTTTTGCTGCAGTTGACTTGTTTTGGTTCTCTTACATCTTTTCCAAAGTGTGTTTATGACATTCTCCAAAGTGGGCATGACGCATGCCTTTTGCATTCAGCTCTTCATAAATACATGCAGGTGAAGGGAGTACAGTTTAAATAAGAGTGCTGGTTGATCTTGATGAGCAAAACCTGTCCTGCAGCTGCAGCTCCTGTTGATGCATAAATTGTGGGTGTGCCTCTGCTTCTACGTTAAAGGGATAGTTCAGATTTGTTGAAGTGAGGTTGTATGAGGTACTTACCCATAGTCAGTGGTGTATTACATGCAGTAGATGTCAATCGGCTTGCCCCCAGTTTGGAGAAGCAGGCTGGTGTCTGATATGGAAGCTAAGCAATCTACTGCTGTGATGTGTTTTAGCCACCAAAAAAATAATTTCAGTGTACATTCGGGGTCCGTTCAGATGTGGAAGCTGTTAAGGGCTTCCGCTCCCCATCTATTCTCTCGTCAAAGCTGCCAGACTTTATTGACAATATTATACCCCTTTTTCCACCAAAATTAGCGCATGTATGCAGGGTTTTTTTTTTTAGATGCGGGGACACCCCTTGAAGGTAGCCAATCGACTCCTTTCTCATTGCCAGTCAACTGGAGCCATGTATCTGGCTCTGCAGTAGATGAGTATGCCTTTCCGTTGTTTTCTGGTGTGTCACATTCAATATCATGGACAGGCCGATAAATACCAGTGACTAATGCAGAGTCATTTGACCTTGGTGTGAATGCTGATTGTAACCTTTCCCATTATATTCAAAAGTCAGATGTTAGTAGGTGTTGGTGGGTTTTTTGTGCAGTTGGAAACGGGATTTTCAATGTAACAACTTAGTTTTCCTGTTAGAAATCACTGTCAGACATTATGGTAAAGCAGTGAAAATATTCTAAATATAGCCTACACTTAAACTGATACTGATTTTTTTAGGTGGGACTTTTTTTAGGTGGCTAAAATGTATTTTGTCGTTGGCCCCTCCACAGCAGTACATTGCTTAGCTTCTATGTCGTACTCCAGCCTGCTTCAAACTGGGGACGTTGACTGAAATCTACTGTTTGCAATATGCTGTTCTATGGATAAGCACTCCATAAAACCCCACTTCAGAAAATCTGAACTATCCCTTTAACGTCTCTCTGTATGTCACAGTGAGACATTATGTTACGTTTACATTTGTCTTGTTATTCTTGCGAAAAGAGAAAGAAATGCCAGGTCCATCACCATCAGCTGTTTTGTTAACATTGATATGTATTTTGCTCGTACTATGGAGCCCACCTGGTGACATTTGTGAGGAAAAAAATGTGTGGCCTCAAATCAGTAATGTATGGAAATGAAATCCTCTTCTGTTCTGTGGTGGCGTCTTTCTTAAAGGAATAGTTTGGACCTTTTGAAGCGGTATTACATATAGTAAATGTCTGTTGGCACGCCCCCAGTTTGCAGTGATGTCACAGGTGAACTCTGTCTCACAGACATGACAAAAAATGTCCAGTAACACTGAATTTTTTTTTTGAACATTCAAAATTGATCTCACAGGAAATGGAGACGGATAAGAATGATGAAGATGAAAAGAAAAAGAAGAAAGGTAAGTTGTTTACTTTTTTTGCATCCGCATATAATATGGAGAGGTGAAGTCCATCTCTTGCCGCTGGACCAGCATGGGACTTTATTTTGGAAAAAAATATGTACAGTAGTCAATGGATATTGACAAATAAGGCTGAGGTGTGCCCCCAACACTTTGGGCTCCTCAGCCTGTGCCTGGTAGACCCGTTCAGTAATCCATCCATGTGACTACTGTACACAAATTTATTTTTCTCATGATGGCGATGGCGTGACCTGTCCTCTGATAGACTTACCCTCACAGTCTTTACCCTAATGTTAACCAATCGAAAATCTCTTGCCTAAACTTAACCATCCCAACCAACGAAGGCAATGAGTACTAGCCAATCAAAGGGAGAGTAGGGCAGGTCATCCCTTTGCCATAGCAGGAAAGAAACTTGGCCTATCGTACATATTTTTTTCTAAAATAAGGTCCCATGGGCCTCTCTATTCAGTATATGACAGGTAAAACATGTCTAATGTCTTCTCCCTGTCCTACAGCTCCAAAATGTGGCTTCATTAAGGGGAATGAGAAGATAATGACGCTTCTAGAGAAGGTGAAACCAGAGATCTTTGCCATGAGAGAGACCATGATCACTGTAAGTTAATCACTGAGCCAGTTCCTTCACCGCATTAAGTTGACATGAAAAAGGCCTTTGACCGTCATTCTGGGGCTCTTTGCAGTTCATTTGCATCTCTTTGTGGTCTTTTTCAATCCCTGTCAACGTGAAGATGAACACCAAGCCAGTTTCTTTTCCGAAACACTGAATTAAATTGACATGAAAATGGCTGAAATGTGTCTCTTTGTAGTTGTTTTTTGTCTTGTAGTCATTATGTTATGTTTTAATAAACGTCTTGTGTTACTGTAGGTCTCCTGCTGGATTCAGCACCTCATCCCCAAAATAGAAGATGGAAATGACTTTGGAGTTGCCATCCAGGTACATTTCCCCAGTGCAACACGTCCCTGCTTAGCGACACAATTTGGTAACATTTTGTGAAGTTTTAATGAATTATTAATTACATTTTTCACCACAGGAAAAAATCTTGGAGAGGATCACTGCAGTTAGGACCAAAGTTGACACTTTTCAGGGCAACATCAACAAGTATGTTTGATACAAATGTCGCTTACTGTAAGATTGTTTACAGTTTACCAGCTTTTTAAGCAGACAAACAATTAAAAGCACTTTAATTAAAAATGAAGGAGTTTTATGGTGATGTTGGACACAGGTACGGGTACATGTCCTGTGAGTTATAAAACCATTTGCTGAATTATGCAGGTACATATCGGAGAGGGGGGATGCTGTCGGAAAAGCCTCCAAAGAGACTCATGTGGTGAGTGTTCACAATGACCTTCTCTTAAAGGACAAGTCTGGCAATTTTTCTACATTTTTCTGTCAACAAATCCCATGAAAAGAATCAATATCACTATATATTAGTATATGTGTCTCCAGAGCCTGATATATCCTCTTCCTCTGTGCCATAGAGCTCAGTTGTGGTCCAAAAACTTTTAAACCACATCAGTGAGCCAAACTGTTGCACTGGGTGGCAACAAATACTCACTAGGGCACCCAATGTGGATAAATTCACTGCTTGAAATAGTCCCCAACAAAGTCCGAACTATTTCCTCCTGCTTGTTTGATAGAAACTACAGTGAGCAGCTGTTTAAGGAAATTACTGAGACTTAAACAAAAAATATTCAGCTACAAGTTGTGTTTTTAAAGATTAACGTCTTTAATCATGTTACAGTACACTTCATGCGTTTGCCTGCTGTGTTGTTTCTCATACGTGGGGTGTGTACATTCATACAGTGGACCTCATACAGCAACACTCCCTGTAGTCTCTCTTAAATTTGCTGTTTAAGAGACAAAATGAAACAAGTCAATTCCACATGCAGCAAATGTTATTAACCATCCAAACCAGCACACCTGGGTAAGCCAGGTGTGCTGAATGATGAATCCAACTTGAACACAAGTAACCTATTAGCATAGGTAAAGCCCCCTAAACGCTATATAAGGGCAGGTGTTGTGCAAAAACTTGCACTTGAAATAGAGAATTGGAGAGATGCCGCCAAGGAAAGGCTGTAAGAACTTCTGCAGTAGTGAAATCAATTTACTGTTAATTTTAAGTATTCAAAGTTAAAGTACTCAATGTAGAATCATTTCAATCAATACATCAAAATAATTAAAAGATTTGAGAAGCTGAAACCATGAAATGCTTTTGCATAAAAAAAAGACACTGATTTTTAATCCTTGTTTATTTATTTATATTTTATTTGTATTTTTACAGATTGTTTTTGTATCACTATTTCCATCTCTCCATTTTATTTTTTATCATTATTTATTTGATTTTTATTCTTATATATTTAACTTTTATTTTTATTAAATTTTTTCCTTTTTTTGAAAAATTGTATTTTTTAGATATTATGTTTACATCCCTCTTTTCATATTTTTTTTATTTTACTCAGATTTTTTTGTATCAGTATTTCCATCTCTATTTTGTTTTTATTACTGTTTTTTCTTGTAATTATTTTTACATTTTACATTATTTCTTTTTAATTAGGTCTTTTTAAATAAATTTTATTACTTATTACCCATTATTACTTGATAAAATAAAATAAATAAATAAAAAGTTATTAATTTACGTCTATTTATAATTTAGTGATTCATTCATGCCCTGAAAATTTCAACACACAAAATTGTAAGGACAGAAAAAAAAGTTTTGAGAGACGGACAAACACGTTTTGTTGTGGGGTTATCATGGGATTAGTCAATGGTAAGAAACATAAATAATAACACCAGCTTTATTCTTTAATTGTTTAAAGTTTTGATTAAATGGTTAGGAGTACCTCAAATCCCTGCTTTCTCTTCCTCCAGATGGATTACCGCTCGCTGGTCCACGACAAGGACGAGGCCATCTACTCTGAGATCAGAGTGATCATTCTCGACATTCGCGGCTTCTACGTAAGTCAGACTGATCTGAGTCCAAATTATTTACTGTCATGCTGTCACAGAAGAAGAAAATCTAAACCGTTTTTGTCTATCCGTTTACTTTAGACTGAGCTTTTCGACATCCTCACCAAGAATATGGAAAAGGTGACCAACCCTAAAGGAGAGGAGAAACCTTCCATGTACTGAAGGACAGATTCTACATTCATATTCAACATCAATCAACTCCCTCTGTGTTCAGTAATGCTGCATGTACATTACTTAATTTTTTAAATCTTCTCATACGTAACTGGATCAGGGTTTATCACTGCTGTTGTATGACACTTTGGTTTTGTACCGACACTTGCACTAAAAGTTGTACAACTATGAGTTTGAGAAAAGAAATAAAGACAAGCCTGTTTTTTCAAATTGTGATTCTCATTTATTTGTAAAAAAACAAAACAAAAAAACCCTCTTTTTGTTCATGACACACTTCAAATTTAACCTTTTTTTAATAACAAATACTCAATTAGGAATCTTACAAAAATATTACCCTCCCTTAACATCAAGAAGGAGCGATCCAAAAAACAACACTAAGGATATCATCAAGTGGGGAACACAAGACAGGAGAGGCACAAATCAACAACACAAAACTGTCTGAGCCTTCAGCGATGATTCTCAGCTCATACTTCAGGGCCTTCTCCTCCAGGGATGAGCTGCAAAACAAATCTGTATATTAGAGATCCAGTGTGTAGGATTTATGGGGCTATATTGGCAGGAATGGTGTGTATAATCAACTGTTGTATTTTTGTTACTTTAGAATGAGCTGTTTATATCTACATAGGGAGCAGGTCCTCATCTATGGAGATATGGCTCTATGTTGTACCGCCATGTTTCTACAGTAGCCCAGAGCTGACATAGCAAATACTGGCTCTAGATAGGGACACGTTTTTATCAGCCACCGTAGTTCACAACCCCTCTGCTACGAGTGTCGGCAAAACACATTTTTATGTTAAACTGTTTTATTCAGTGTTTCAACCAACTTAAATCATGTTTCTTTTAGAGAGGAGGATAATTCAGCTCCCAGTAAAAACCTCTAGAACAGTGAACACGGAAGGAATTCTAACCAGGAGATGTTTCAGCTGGTTTCAATCCTCACAGGTTGACGCCACTAAATCTTACCTGCTGGATCTTTAAAAGGTCTAAAACCACAGTAACAGGTGGAGGTGAAAGATAAACCTGTGACCCTATGAAGTGGATGTAATGATACCAAACATGCAGGATAGGTTTACACACCATGGTGATGTTATTGCCATTGAGGAGGATCTGGTCCAGTTTGGTTATCCTTCGTCCCTCTGGTGTGATTTCACTAAAACACAGATATGAATATTAATTAATAAATTCAGCAAACAGGCGCATTACTAGTGACCGTACTTAATGCACAAATGAATTTGTACTTACAATTCTGTGACATCTTCCAGGACCATATCTAAAACCTTGAGTCAAGGACAAAAACTGGGACAATATGCAGAGCAAACAGTAAAATCATGTAGTTTGTTAAACACCAGAAAATTATTCTTACTTTAATTAATTTGTTATCTGAGAAGGATACTGACAAAGTCGTCAAAACCCAGCAGGGTGCCGACGATTTCTTTGTCGGTTTTCATGACGATGTGAATTCGGGAGCCAATACATTTGTCCACAAGCTCTAAAAATGAGAAAAACAAACCAACATGAGACATCCACTCAAATTTCTATTCTTCTCTTTTTGCAAAACTTTGCAGGCGACCCTGTAAAAATAATTAGTTTATTGGACAGAATATTAGATCAACAACTGATCAATATTTTCAGTCATTTTTGTTGCTGTTGTCAAAATGTCGCCAATTAATTTTCTGTCAATCGACTGATTGATTTCTCGAAAGATCATTTCAGCTATAACTTATTATTATTATTATTACTTATTATTATTATTATTATTACTGTTGGGTGATTTATAAGAAATCATTTTGTAAATCTTCATATGTTTTGTGTGTAACAAAGCTGTCACATAAATGTAATGGAGTAACATTAGAAATGTAAAATAGCACTAACAGAAAAGACTCAAGTACAAGTACCTCAAATTTGTAGCCTACTTGAGTAAATGTACTTAGTTACATTTTCGTATAAAACGAATCTGCCTGGATATTGGATCTATTGTTTTCCCTTCTAATATGACCCTTCGATACTATGAACATTGTTACTTTAACGGAAATAAATTGTGTGTGGCTCATTCAAGAAAATAAAGACTGTCAACATGCAGTAACGTTAATGAAGCCATCGTGCGTTTGTACCTGGAAGCATGATGCTAACGTTAACTAGCTAACTAAACATCCCTAATATCTGAACTATCACCTCAAAGTCCAAACACAACACTCTCATATTAAATACTGATTTATAATTAGTTAAATAAATCAGAAACTCGACATATTTAGGAATTTACAAACCCAGTGGGAGCAACTGTGACGGATTTGTTGCCGGAGTAGCCGCCATGTTCATTCAACAAGCACCAGTCAGAAGCAATCAACAGAAGAATGTCAGAAACCAGACCAAAGCAATCAATAATGAATAATCGAACAGCTCTCTGCAGCAACCAAATGTCAGTTTGTCGTGTAGGCCTACATTTTTACATCTATGAAAAACTCTACAGGATAAACACAAACTATTTAAGAAACCAAATAAATACACAACTCAACAGATATTACAGAAATGGAAAAGACTTGAAAATTAAATTATGTTGTTCGACCTATTTCCACAGGGTGGCGCTGGTTGAGCCGGTGAATATATGACGTAATCATTTGACTGTAACAAAGATGATAGCGCGAAGGTCAAGATAGATAATAACCAACGACAGTTTCTGTGGTCTGCCGGATCCAGTGGTCGGAAATAATACTTGAATTAAGCAGAATTAAATATAGTATATACGCGCAGTGAATCACGTTAATTCGTTATATATTTATTATAAAACCATTTATTTTTATACATCTGGCTTTGACTCTGGTTTTATCACTTTCTTTGTACATATTAGAATCTGAAGCTGAAATAAGAAGTGTGAAAGTAAGCAGTTTGTAAAAAAATATGAAAATAAAAATATGTGCATTATTATGCTACAATGTTTAGAACTAGTATGTAAAATATTTAGAAATATAAAATACGCACAATTTGTTAACATTTACTGAACAACTAATTCATTAACCAAGAAAATAACTGATAGATTAATCGACAATGAAAATAATCATTAGTTGCAGCCCTAACCTCAACCAACCAATATAAGACAAGACAAGAGAAGTTAGAACTTTATTTATCCAGAGGGACATTGTTGTGCAGAAGTTGCAATACAAAGTTAGAGGGGTGCAGATACAAAGTGTGCAATAGACTATACAAAGACTAAAATAACAAAGTGAATGTAGGCTATAACAAATACAAAATACAATATATAACAAATATAAACTGAATATAAAACTAGATAACAGCAAGGAGCAATATATATATATATATATATATATTTAAAGCTAACAGTATGATGCAAAAAGTTAAGGTGCAAACCAATACATGTAATATATATAGTGACACAAACAAGTTACCAGTATGAATGATAAATATAGTATGGACTACAATAACAGTAAAATCCTGCTTTTACATGAATGCAAGAGTAATACTAATAATGATATAATATATAACAGTTTGACAGTCATAGAGGACAATCTTGTACCATTAATACTTTAAGTACATTTTCCATATAATAGCCTACTTACATACTTTTACTTAAGTATCATGGAGGGCTTTTACTTTTAACACAGTATTTTTACATTGTGGTAATCGTGCTTTTACTTAAAGGGATAGTTTGGATTTTTTTTAAGTGGAGTTGTATGGGGTACTTATCCATAGTCAGTGTATTACCCACAATAGATGTCAGTTGGCATGCCCCTAGTTTGGAGAAGCAGGCTTTAGTCTGACATAGGAGATAAGCAATGTACTGCTGTGGAGTGTCAGCAACAAAACATATTTCAGACACCTAAAAAAGTGTTAAAGTGTTAAAGTGTAAGCTATTTTGAGAGTATTTTCACAACTAAACCTTTCTCTCAGATGGCCCGTTCTGATATGGAGGCCATTAATGGCTTCAGTTTCCCATCTACGCTCACTTCAAACTCACCAGACTCCACTGACAATCCAGTAATTTTAGTTTGTTGAACACAGGAGCTGCTGGTCTACCACTGTTTCAGTCAGTTAGTTAGTTTGCGTTATGGTGTGACTTTGGTGAACCCGAACTAACCCTTTTAAACAGCAATGTCACACAATGACACAAACAAAATAACTAATGTAGGTAGTGGTAGACCAGCAGCTCCTGTGTTCAGCAATGTTAAATTACTGTTTTTCTCAATGGAGTCTGGCTTTGAAGAGAGTGATATAATGGCTATTTTTTTCAGTTGAAAATCACTGTCTGACACTGAGGCAGAGGTGTGAAAATATTCTCAATATAGCATACCCTGAAACTGATATCGATTATTTAGGTGGGACTTTTTTTTGAAGTGGCTAAAATAGCTACATTTTGTTGCTGACCCCGTCCACATCAGTAGGCTTTGCTTCCATGTTGGACTCCAGCCTCTACTTTATGTAATATAATGACTATGGACACATACCCTACTACACAACTCATTTTTATTTTTTTTAAAAAAAGAACTATCGCTTTTCTTAAATAGCGGAGTTGAGGACTTCCTCCATCACTGGACAAAGCTGCGAACTCACGTTTACTTGACGAAAACGGAAGTGCGCTGCAGTGAACCCTCTCGCTCTGTCCGTCCTCTGACACAGTGGGACGAAGCGGAAGAGAAAAATCGCCTCCTGTGGTTGTGTTGTGTCCCTGTCCGCCTGTCTATCTGCCGCAGATTCAGGGGGGAAAATCATCTTTGTCCGCTGTGTTTACATCCGACCCCGGAGTTAAAAACACCACAGGACGGACTAAACATCCGGGGGGAATGGAGTCTTACGGCAGGGACGATCCGAAGGGATCGGTGCTGCACATCGTGGTGGTTGGATTTCACCACAAAAAGGGCTGTCAGGTAGGTGAACCCCTGCTCTCCATGCTAACACAGCTAACTGCTAACCAGCGCTTCCCAATGGACCCTTAATAAAGGCACATTTCCACTGTTATTCAGCACGGATTGATAATCCAGCTCACTGACTGCGCCTCTCTTGTCTCTGAGCGTGCATACACAAACCCTGCAGGGCCCATGATCATTACTCACATGCATTAAGGAGAGAGGCTGTACTAAACATCAGCTGTTTGCTCTGTGCTCACTGGGTTATATAACATGAGCTCTGCTGCCAACATCTTTCCAGTTCAGTGTATTCAACAGCAGACTCTGTGTTTCTGTTGCAGGCTGCATCTTGCTCTCCTGGATGCTGCATTTGTCTTTCCTCTCTCTAATTAATCTGGATTTCAAATAGATCTACAGTGGTGGGAGAATTCATTAGATCTTTTACTTAAATCAAACTAGCAATACCACACTGTAAAAATACTCCACTACAAGTTTCTGTATTCAAAACCTTTCTAAAGTAAAAGTCCTCATTGTGCAGTAAAATGTTCATTGTCAGTGATTTTGTGTGTGTAATTGAGAAAATAATTTTCACGATTAATTGTTAAGAAAATAGACATAATCTCTAATATGACTGAGTTGTCTTGTTATGTTTTATGTTCTGCATGTGCAGTAAGTCGATCTGTATCCTGAACACATAAAGGTTAACTGATAGTTGTAGTACTCAATCTTTGCCAACCTTGTTTACATGTGACATCTTCAAACAAAGATGTATATTTGTTACTTTTAGGTAGAAAGAAAATGCAGTTAAAAACTTAAAAAATATGTGCAGATACATACCTGAGTTTTAGTACCGATACCATAACGAAACCTTTTTGATGCCTTTGTTTTGAAAATTGAATGAATAAATAAAAGTAAATCAAGAAAAGAAGCCAAAGTTTTAAAATGTTAGATGTTAGTGTGTTAGATTTAGGGGGATTTTGTGGCACCTAGTGGTGAGAACTGCAGATTGCAACGAGCTGAAACTTCTCCCAGTTAGAATTCCTGCAGTGTTTATTGTTCAGGAGGTTTTAACTGGGAACTGAATTATCCACAGAGGTCTCTTTCTCTCCAAAACAAAGGGACCCCTGTGATTTAAACTGGCAAAAACACTAAATATAACAGTTTCACTTTGGTAAAATCTGTGTTTTGCAAACACTGCTGCCGACGGGCTTCTAATTATGGTGGCCAAAGCAAAAACACGAATACCCCTATTTAGAGTGGACAAACCAAACACTAGCTCTAGATAGAGCCATCTGCGTTATTTCGGCCACTGTAGTTAGGCTCTCCTCCGAGAAGAGAGTGTCAGAAAAACACAGGTTTTTAATGTGAAACTGTTTTATTCAGTGTCACCTGGTCTGTTTGTTATGGAGATGAAGAGACCTCTGTGGGTAATTCAGCTCCCCATAAAAACCTCCTGAATGTCTGGATCTTAAGTTATCAGAGAAAAAAGGTGAGAACACATTAGCAGTGTTTGATTTATCTGTTCAGGGCTGTTGTAGAAACATGGTGGTGCAACATGGTACTTACTTAAGCAAGTGACTGGAGTACTTCTTCCACCACTGGTCATAAGCTTCCTGCCAGGGAAGCAGATGGGTGGCAGGTGAATAAAAGAAGGGGGGGGGGGGGGGGGGGGGGGTAAAGAGATGCTGAAACAGAACAAGACAGACAGATTAAAGAGCCAAGAACCCGATCTGATACCCCGCAGGAGATCGTTGACCCCTATCAGATAACCTCCTGCACCACCAGAGCCAACAGGCCCAGAACCCGAAACAAAGAGCGCGCACTGTCTGCTTTGTTGGGCCTCATTTTTACATCAAACATGAAATGTCTGTTTTATCTCTCGCCTCATGCAGCAGCTGCTTCCAGGCCCGCTGAGTCGAGTTTAACAGGCCACAGAAAGACCTGACACATGGAGAGCAGCGGCAGACAAGCAGGAGGCACAGTGTTTGTTTAATGGCTGCCAGCTCGCACTGTAAATTTAATGAATTTTGAAAAAGAAGACGTGATAATTAGAAGATGCATTAGAGGCACTTACACTGACTGCCTCACATACGCTTCACGAGGCAAAACACCAACATGAAAGTGAGTGTACGGTTCAAATTAGGTGTTAAAGATATAATATTCAGGATTTTGTAGAGACTCATACAGAAGTAATCCCTTTCACTCATCACTTCTGTCCCACTCTCAGTGTGTGTCGGTGTGTTTATCTACAGAGACTCTGCCCTCTGCCTGGATTTTCTTATTTTCTGTGTCTGGGATGTTTATGTTCATGTGCCCCCACATTGCTCAGGTAAGGTAGAGGCTTTATAAAAAGGTAACAACCAGATGCCAGATCGTAAGCAGCAGACATCCAAGAGACACAGTGCAGAAATAAATGCAAATACAGTGAGGCTGAGTGGCCGAGTTTCTGCTAAAAAGAAGAAGGTTTGTGGAGAACAACAGTTTAAGGAATAGCCACATTAATTGTGATTGTTGCTGTTGATAAAAGCAGGTAAACCCTTGGCTTTGCAGGCGGATATTTGTGTGTCATCACTGTGATGTGACGCCAGGTGTTGAAACAAAGAGTGGTCAGGGTTAGGGTTAGGCACTGCCGAGGTGCCACTGAGCAAGGCACTTTACCCCCAGCTGCTCGGGTTGCCTGTCCGTGAGCAGCCCCGTCGCCCTGACATCTCTCCATTTAATCTCTCCATGTTCCTACAGTAGCCCAGGAAGGACAAAGCAAACACTTGCTATAGATGCAGGCCATTTGCGTTTTCACGTCGGCCACCATAATTAGAAGCTTCTCCAATAGAAGAGCATCAGAAAAACAGATTTTTTTTTTAACGCCAGACTGTTTTATTCAGTGTTTTACAGGTTCAAACCAGCAAATGTATTTGTTTTCGAGAGGAAGAGACCTCTGCGGATAATTCCACTCCCAGTTAAAATGTTCTCAACATCTAGGTCTTAACTTATCAGAGAACAAAGTGACACACGTTAGCATGTGCTAGGCTAGCAGCCTGTCTCCGACATCCCACACAGCATTGGAAAAACACTGACTTTAATGTGAAACTGCTTTATTCACTGTTTTTACTGGTTTAAATCACCAGGTTGATCCGTTTTGAAAACGAGGAGAATTTTCTCAACACATAAAAAAAACACTTCATCCTTCAGTTTTTTGAAAACATCCAACATCAGCACATCTGGAGGGACATGTTTTTTTTATTGAAACACTGTCATCTGAAAAGTAACTAAAGCTGTCAGACAAATGTAGTGCAGTAAAAAGTACAATATTTATCTCTGAGACGTAGTGGAGTAAAAGGATAAACTTACTTAAAATGGAAACACTCAAGTACAGTACAAGTACCTCAGATATTTAGATGTAAATGTACTGGGTTACATTCCACTACTGGACGTGCACGTTTTTTAATTAAGAGCATCACTCCTCCAGAGTCGGCGCCTTGCCCTGAGGGACTTTATCCTTGATGAGTGAATCATTGTTGCAGTGTGTGTGTGTGTGTGTGTGTGTGTGTGTGTGTGTGTGTGTGTGTGTGTGTGTATGTGTGTGTGTGTGATACGTTCAGGACCAGCAGGTTATTCTGGCAGTAGGCTGGGCTGTGTGGGAGAATTAAACAGGGGGTGTGAATGTTTTTTGTTTTTTTTCCCAGGCAGCTTTTTTCTTGAGCTCAGTGGAAGCATAAGAAAGATGTAAAATAGATAATAGGTAAATACATCTATCTGAAATCTCTCTATCTCTTCATTATCATGAAAAATGGGTGATTTAACTTAATGCTGTGTTTACAAAGGAACCTCTCTCTGAAGGTGGATGACTATAATATTGTGATTTCAGCATTATGGCTGTTTATTATAAAAGAGAAAGAAAAGCTAATTCCTCATACTAACACGTTTCTTAACTAGTTACAATTTAAAAGAAAACTCGAGGGGTGTTTTTGTGATTTTCTTAACAGTGTTTGGATGGATTGATATGAAATTCACAACATGTATTTATGGTCCTCAGAGGATGAATCCTGCTGACTTTAGTGATCTTCTGACTTTTCCTTTAGTGCCACCATGGGCTTAAAACCTTTAGCCTCAGACCACGCTCTGGCCTGCTGCTGATTTCCTTTTGGAATTAAATCATTTAAGTATTACTTGTGTTGTAATATGTGTATAATATACACTCAGGAAAATCTGTACTGTGGATAAAAGTCTCAGATTCTGTCTGTAATTAGTCTGTAACTTTGACAACATTCTTACCAGTATAAAATCTTCAAGAAGAGATAATGCAGACATAAAAGAACAAAGCTAATTTTTTAAAAGCAGCATATCACAAGTAAACCATACCGATGTTCTGTCCTCGCCCCTCAGGTTGAATTCTCGTACCCGCCATTGATGCCAGATGAGGGTCATGACAGTAACCTGCTGCCAGAGGAGTGGAAGTACCTCCCTTTCCTGGCTCTTCCTGACGGGGCACACAACTACCAGGAAGGTACGACACACCTACAATATTTATAGTTTCATTTTGATAGTCGGTTAGTTAATGTGCTGGTTTGTTTGTCATTTCCGTAACTCAGCAAACATGAGAGCATAATACCGTTCTCCACAGGTCAGAGTGAGGTTTTAAAAATAAAAGACACATTATAAAAACATAAAACCATGTAACATTGTGCTGATGCGTTTATATGAAAAATGTCAAGTAAAAAAAAACATGTAATGCAGAATTGCTGGTGCATTTGTTTGCCCATGTATCGTCCTGTGGTGTTGGCGGGATTCAATTCAGTTCAATTCAATTCGATTCAATTCAATTCAATTCAATTCGATTCAATTCAATTCGATTCAATTCAGTTCAATTCAATTCGATTCAATTCAATTCAATTCAGTTCAATTCAATTCAATTCAATTCTTCTTTATTTATCCCAAATTAAATCCTTGTGCCAGAGAATGCGTCAAAGTACAGTAACCACAATTTAATGTTCACAACAAGAAACAACCAGATCATCCAGTGGGTTCCCCAGGTCAGTGTCACTCACTGAGCCCGGTTTAGTAACGTTAGAGTATTAGATATCTGGCAAAATATACAGATATAAAAGATAAGAAGTTTATTCAAGGTGCAAAAACAAAACCAGTGCCTAATAGAGCAACAAAAGGAGTAAGATAAGTACAGGAGTAACGCACGTGATTGGAGAAAATGATATTGCACTACATTGGCAAGTGATCATGATACTGAAACGTAATATTGCACATGATGGACGGCAGCATGCGGAGAGTTCTGATAGCTTCGAGGAGAAAGCTATGACAAAGTCTGGCAGATCTTACAAGGATGCTGTGGGACCTCATTCCAGATGGCAGGAGAACAAAGAGGTGGTGGGTGGAATGGGAGGGGTCAGTCATTATGTTGGTGGCCTCTCTGATACACTGTGTCTGTACACTGTGTATCAGACTCTTAGTTGGACAGTAATGATAACATATCAGCTTGGCCTTTTGGAAGTTGTCATGGGCATTTTCTTTTTTTACTTTTTTTTTTCTCCAACATTTTATGGACCACATGATTAATTGATAAAGACAATAATTGTTAGTTGCAGCTTTATTTGCATCTTTACTACAAAAAGCTTTATTATTTACCGTCTTAATCTTTGACCGATGTTTAATTTAAACTGTCTTTTTAAGATAAAAGAGAAGATCAACTGTACATTTTACCTGAAAAACATGCAGAGGAGATGGTTTTGCATTTTTGCTCTGATGAACATCTACAGGTGATCAATCACATGCATGCAAGTGCACGTTCCTGGTGGATTACTTTCTAACATGAATGCTGCATTTCCACCGATTATCTCTTGATGATCCCGATGAAGATAAAGTAGTTGCCAATGTCTTGACCTCCCAGAGTTGTAAAATCCAGTCTTTGACTATTACAAATTGTGCTAAGATGTTTTGTCACCTGATAAATGCACTCATCTGTTATTCAAAGTGGACTTTCAGGATTGTATTTTACTATGAGGGACGTCTATAACCCCATCCCAGAGGAAATTTAACACTCATATTGTGTATCTTCAAGTTTTTCTGCTGCTATTTGGTGGAAAAATACCACTTTGAATGTGGTGTTGAATTTTTATAAAGGTGGAAAATGAAGTGTTTTTTAGATCCTCATATGGCAGCTGACAGTGAGCGGATGAATCAGAGATTCAGCCTGTTTGATTTTGTGAAAGCAGGTGTCACTTTTGAGAAGAGAAACAGTATCCAGGCTGTAAAGAGAGATTAGGACTGTGTGTGATAGTGAGCTGACTCATGTGTGTGTGTCCTGTGTGTTGTGGCGGCTGTCATGTGACAGTCCTGTGGTTTCACAGCTGCCGTTCATACTGTCCTGCGAAGGCAAACAGGAGGAACTGAGTCAAAGTTCAACGCCCATCAGACACTTATTCTTACAGGATGGGCAGCTTCTGTCTGCTGTGGCTTTTCTGCTGGTCAGCTCACTGTTTGTCGAAGTAAGAAGTGAAAAATGTTTTCATGTTGCAGGAGTAAGCAAACTGTTCCCTGCACAGAAGATGAATCTGTCAGCCTGAATGAAGGCAAAAACTTGAGACAAAATCTTTTAAGCAATCTTCAGCTCAGAATCAGCACTGCAAGATTCCTCTCGCAGATATCTTTTGTGCTGCTCTTTACATTTCTGAATGTAGACAAATCTTCAATCCCTGTCGTATATTAGTGTCCTTGTGTTTCTGCCGCTCCAGCTGACTGTTAGCTGATTAAAAAACCAACAGTGTTGTGAGCGACTCCCTCTGCACTGCGGCTCATAAAAACAGCAGTCACACTGATACCACTGGGTGTTGGTTACAGAGGAATACATGGAAAGGAAAACTACTACAGATGAACACAATCACCACACAGCTTGTATTAAATAAGACGGTTTAGTTGGACATAAATGACGACACAGTTACTGTCATCTTGCCTGATGCAGCCTTTCTTAAAGCATCCTTTTTCATTATTTTGATTTGTCTTGACCTCCTGCATTCTTAAATTAAAAAAGCTAATGTGCAGGACAGGTCTGTTTTTGAGCAATTTGGGGGTCATTTTGGTCTGACAACGTGTGCCTTTACTGTCATTTTGCCTGTCTTTGGACCAGGTGAAACTGGACAGTCCTGGACTATGGCCACATCCACACTAATACAAATATTTGTGATCTCCGTGCACACAAGCATTTCAGAATTAATCTTAATCCATACTGACAGGTCTGAAAACACAAATCAAATGGCCATTCATGTACACTGGGCATGCCCTTACTGGTGTAAACAGGAAGGAGATTGTCTACTCTGTGGTTGGTAGCTAAGTTGCAGAAGATAATAATAATAATAATAATAATAATACCAATACATTTATTTGTTACAGCACCTTTCACAGAAGTGCTTCACAAGATACAATGGAACAATCATTACAATAAAACATGCAATCAGTAAAAACAAAGGCAATAAAACAATTAAAACAAAGCTACAAAAAGACAGTAAAAGAAAAGACAATAAAATATAAAGCAAATACAGGCTACTGTGGAGCCAAAAAGAAACAAACCAAAGAACAAGCATAAGATAATACAATTAAGGGTGGGACAAAGGCCATTTTGAAAAGATGGGTCTTCAGTTGTTTTTTAAAAAATTTACAGTTTACAGCAGACCGTAAACCCAAAAGGAAGTGAGTTCTATAGTAATGGAGCCACTACTTCAGCCAGACAGCCAGTAGGTCCTGGTCAGAAAACAACAATATATGGATGGAGGAGATCACTGATGTATTCAGGTTCCTGACCGTGAGGGCTCTGTACATGAGAACAAGTATCTTGAACTGAATCCTGGACCTCACAGGAAACCAGTGTAAAGAAACAACAATGGGAGTGATGTGGGTTGACCTGCTGGACCTGGTTTACAGCCTAGCAGCAGCAATCTGGATTATTCGAAGACGGTTCAGAGATGCTTTGCTCAGGCAAGTAAAAAGAAAATTACAGGAGTCCAGTTGGGAGGACACAAAAGCACAGATCATCATCTCTAACTCAGGTCGAGACATCACAGACCTGAGCTTTGCAATATTTCTTAGTTGTATAAAACAAGTACAGGTTAATGATTAAACATGATAATCAAAATGCATGGCCTGATCAAAAATAACAAAAAATTAAAGTTTGACCGCAAGCTGAAGAAAGGAACCCAATACTCTGGGAAACCTTTGAAGCTATACTATCTGAACCTCCGTCTTGTCTGTAGCCCTGTTTAAATAGGAATTGTGCAAATTTGCAGGAAAGCCCAATCAGTCTTCTTCCAGCATTGGCAGTATAAAAACAAAATTCAAGGAGTGCAGCAAAATGCCGCCTGCCTACTTTTGTTTATACAGAATGTGCCTTTTTCGGGGCAGTGGGGGGCGCGAGAAAAACGTGAGGCTCAGTGTGTGACTTAAACAGCCTTGCTCCGAGGGAAGCCGCTAAGTTGGCCTGTTCTTCACCGTTCCTGTCATTTGATGGTTAAAGGCCTCTTCATTTGCGAGGACAAGGGGGGCGCGCAATTCTTTGTCTCCCCAGTTGCTCATCTTTACAGTGTCTGTCAGGTTTGCATTTCCCCCTTGCCACTAGTATTAGCTGCTCATTCCGGCTATCAGCTGTTTCCTGTTTAACCACTGCCAGTGGGTCGCACATGTAGCGTCATCAACAGCTCCTCCCACAAGTCATCAAAAGCCCTCCCGTTGCGGAACGGCGCCTCGTTCTCTTTAAACCAAAAAGGTTCCGCCAATATGTCTACCCTACGAGGCGGAAAATTTGGCACCTTGGATCAACTCGCCAATCCGGCTCTGTGTGTCTAAACGCTTGCAACTTGCCTGCAAAACGGCCCAACATTCGCTGAAAATCTGGCTGTGTAAAAGGGGCTTGTGTTTAATTGTAAGTAGTTGTTTGACATCTAGTCCTTGATGGCAATCAGGCAGTTGTAAAGAACAGCAAGTTTATTGGTACTAACAGGCTTAAACAAAACAAACAGTTGAATATTGTCAGCATAACAGTGATATATGATATACCTGTGATCTGGCTGATAATGTGATCCAGTGAAAGCATGTATAAAGCAAATAATATAAGACCTAAGACAGAGCCCTGAGGTACACCACAGGAAAAAGCAGCAGTATCAGACCTGAACGGACCAAGACCAAGATACTACAGAGATGGTGAAAAGTAAGAGTTGTTACAAAGCAGATACGGCAACATATTAGAGCAATACTGGGAGCATTATCCATCATTGGAGCCAGCTGCAAAGCACATGTGGTGTCCGCGTCATTGTTTTTAAAAGTCTCCCTTTTTCTACTAAAATGCAGCCCTGGAGTTTTCAAATGAAAGGGGTCAGCAGTGAAAAGTGGTAGAAACGCGATAAAATTAATGGTTTTTGATGTACACCATTGTCCCAAAACGCAATGCTTAGAGGAAATGGAGCGGTTCATAGCTGCAAAATATTAAAACAAATTGCTGGAGAAAGA